TTTAGCTCTATCATACAAGATTTACTCTCAACAAATGACTTCTAATCAAAGATGGATATTATGAACAATTTAGCTTCAGTAATGCCTGGAGGAAATGTTATATGTTGCTGTTAACATTGCTTAAAATCTGATACTGTGTTGGTTTGGATTTTTTTAAGGCTTTAAGTTTCAGTGGTTCAAAGATCATTTAAGGTGTTGATGACCTCCTGATGTTTTCTGTCTTTGCAGGTTTTCTCATATGTAGCCACTCTTCTCTACTTCGTCCACACAATCCTGTCTGCCATCCGATGGAAATCTTTCTAGAAGCTTTCTCCCTATAAACCTCATGAGCAGAACTGAATTTCATTTTGTACATACGGAAATGCTGATATGACGGGGGTTTGGTGATGGAGACTGTCAAGTTACTGATCTGGCGTTTCCCTCTGCTAAATGAAAGACGATCTGGGTCTCACTGTGCCTCACACTGCCTCATGTCTACTGTTAACTTCCAGAATACCATTCCACAGTATCACTACTTACAGCCACAAGATTAAAACCAGGGGCCACACAGTGTGTAGGAACTGGATATTTGTGAATGTGCTGGGATGCCAAGCACTGGAATGCGAAAGGTGGATCCTTTGCACTCCTTATCCCAGGAATAATGGGGTCTGAGATTAACACCTTAGATTAGTTTCAGATTTCATTTGCCATTTTAAATAGTTCTCATTTTGCAAACATTTTTAAGTTGACAAAGTGTTCCAATAAAACCCTGCTTTGTAGTAAAATAATCAATGCTACGTATATGTCAGTAGTTTTAATGTTGTGGCTGTTTTGGTAAATGGTAAATGGCCTGTATTTGTATAGCGCTTTACTTAGTCCCTAAGGACCCCAAAGCGTTCACAATCACTACTCAAGCTCTCATTATATAGAAATGTCAGAGCGCCAAAATAAAGAATAACCAGGATAGGAACAGAATGATTGTATAGCCAGACATAAAAAGATTTATCATTGCCCTGCAAAACTGAGCAAGCCAGCTTACTTAGAAAGACTGAGGGACTAGAGAGACAAGCTTAGCGTCACTTTTATTTGCTGATATCAGAACACTTGATATCATTTGGCGAGGAGTGAACTCATCACTTGAATGATCATTCTGCTACACTCCATGAAAATAATATTTGACATATTTAGTTTAAATTAATGTGATAATTAATTTATCAGTGATTAATTTCAGGTTCCCATGGGTCCTTTACTCCTTTTCTTCTCATCATTATTATTTGGATAACTTTGTCCTTTAATGAAAACCTTTCGATTAATATTATTGTTCTGCTCTCAGCTGACTAAAGAAAGGAGCGGGTGGGGAAACATTTATATTTTTGTAGGTTTATTCACACTTTCTTTGAAATTAAATAAATTTGGGGTTTTTTCATGAAATACATGAAATATGTGAAGTGTTTCTGTATGCTATATTACCAGATTTTGTAAGGTGAATACAATACATTCAGACAGAGATTGTGGTTTGTTGAATAGTTATGCTACGTGTTGAGTGCTTACAAATTTTATGCCAAGGAGTCCAGACCAAGTCTGCTGTGACACACACAAAAGGTGATTTTGAGCACTTGTTTTTGTATCAGTTTGTGAACAGATTTTTTCAACATAATGCAGTTCATGCAGTGTGAATATGTGGTATATAGAAACAGTATCCATTACATCACCAACTTTGAGCTTTGAAACTTTGAACTAGGACTGTAGTCGCGATTTTAATGTAAACATGGGGAACCAACCTTAAGAAGGGTCAAAAACTAGTTCCAGAGAAGAAGTTTAGCTAAATACAAAATAATTTGTCAATAATTTATTAATGAATAAAGAAAATCTGTTCTGTTCAATCAAATTTCATTTATATAGTGCAACATGATAACAACAGTTGTCTCAAGGTGATTTATATTTTAGGGTAAAAACTCTACAATAATATAGAGAAAACAGAAACCCCCAAAATCAGATGACCCCCTACGACAGGGGTGGGGAAGCTTTTTTATATGAAGGGCCATTTAAATGTTTATATATTTCTCAGAGGGACATACTATTATGAACACATACCTAGGGATCCAAAAAGAAAGACCAAAAAAGCTACATGAGGTTTCAGCTCGCCAACACACCTCACAGCAGCCGGAGGTGAGTGCAACAACACAAGCTTGACACAGGGGTCGAGGGGACACGGGAGAGAGGGAGACAGAGACAAGACTAAGACACACAAAGGACAAGGGAGACTTAAACACAAGTTAGAACATAATACAAAAAAGGCACAAAACTCAAAATGCTGGTTCAAGATGAACCAGAACTATGACGTAACCAACTGCAAAAAAATAATGATGAGATTCATTTAAGATAAGATAAGATAAGATAAGATAACCTTCATTATTCCCACGTGTGGGAAATTGTGTTACAGCAGTGGACAATCCAAAGTTACATGGAAAATTAGAAAAAAGAAAAACACTGGAATAAGATTTCAATAGATACTGTATACAACTGTACACAATAGAATAGAATAGAATAAAATAATATATACAATCGAATAAAATAGAATAAAATAGAATACAAATGCTATATACAATTGAGTATAATACAACGATGCCAGAAAAGAGTATTGCACTTCATTTGCACTTAATTTGAGATTACAGAGCACAAAAACTGCTACTGTTCTGAAGTGCATTACTATTTAACTATTGATTACTGAATTGGCCAAATGGTTACATTCTTGGGATTTACATGTAAACAGAACAGCTAGAAAGAGACACAACACGAGATAGAAATGGATAGCAGCCATGAATATTTCACGTAGCAGAAGCTTGTTGCTTTTCTTTTCTGTTTTTAACCACAGTAGCATTTTACTGCTAGAGCAGCAGAACAGCATGAAGCAGAAGCATTAATGATTTATATCAGTTAAATAACAACAATAGCATTTGTCCTGAAAAGCAACTGATAACTATATTTTAATCACTCAAGCAATTTCTTCTGACATAAACACATAAACAACAAGATCCTTATAGCGTTATTTCCCGCTGTTATAAAGCGTTGAATTCATTTGACAGCTGTACAAACTTAATCAAATTTTTAAAAAGTAGTGTGGATGAGTCATGTCCAGATATTTTAGCTCTGGACATGACTGAGCTAAAATAACCACTACTCTTTTTATTCTGACCAGCAGTGAAGAGTTTAAATCAGAGAAAACATGAAAGCAGGTTTTATAGAAGTACAGCAGAGAGCAAATACAGAACACGGTGCCTCATACACAAGATGTGTTTCCATCACTTCAGAGATGCATGTTTACATTGGCATATTAATTTCATGGAAAACTCCCATGATCATAACCAGTATTTATTTAAAACTTAATCCTAAACCTCACAAGTTCATCCTCATGGGGACTTGCTTCATGTCAAGAAAATATAAGTACACATGGAGCCATACTGGCAGTGTGGCAGGTCAGTGAACTGTAGCTGTGATGGATAATTGATGAGAAGGCAGGAGGTGATAATAGCAGAGTATTTCCATGAAACTGAAGACGAGAGAAGTCCTGGGATGATGCAGTCTGTCTAAATGACTATGACATCCTAATCTCAGACAACAAACAGTTGATAAGCATTATGGACAAAGATACTTCATGTCTGTGCCTCTTTTATGGATAGTCTTGATGTTGTAGACAGCAGTGATCCTCCAACTTTGTGTCACCATTTTGGATATATAACAACCCCCAAAATGGGCCCTACAGTGGTTAAAATGCACATTAGTTTAGGCACAAAGAAAACTTCTTGTGCTTCTGTGCTTGATACTGTCGACCATAATATCCTATTAGAGCGATTAGAACATGCTGTAGGTATTACAGGTACTGTGCTGCAGTGGTTTGTATCATATCTATCTAATAGACTCCAGTTTGTTCATGTAAATGGAGAGTCCTTTTCACACACTGAGGTTAATTATGGAGTTCCTCAGGGTTCAGTGCTAGGACCAATTCTGTTTACATTATACATGCTTCCCTCAGGCAGTATCATCAGAAGGCATAGCATACATTTTCTTTGCACTTCAGATGATATCTAACTTAATCTATCCATGAAGCCAGATAATACACACCAACTAGTTATGAAGCAGGAATGTCTTAAAGACATAAAGACCTCTATCTTTCTGTTTCTAAATTCAGATAAAACAGAGGTTATTTTCCTCGGCCCTAAAAACCTTAGAAATATGGTCGTAATACGCGCTCTGGATGGCATTTCTTTAGCCTCCAGTAACACTGTGAGGACTCTTGGAGTCATTTTTGACCAGGACTGCTTTCTTCCATTTGACAATATCTCTAAAATTAGAAATATCCTGTCTTAGAGTGATGCTGAAAAATTTGTTCATGCTTTCGTTACTTCCAGTCTGGACGACTATAATTCATTTTTTTAGGATGTCCTAAAACTCCCTGAAAAGCCTTTCAGTTGATCCAAAATGCTGCAGCAAAAAATACCAACAGGTATGTTTTTTCTTTCTGTTTATCCAACTTTTTATTGCTTTGTTTTGTTATATCCTCCTGAGAACCAAGGAAAAAGATTCTTCCGATTTAACTTTTTTTTTGTAATTTCCCGTGTCTTTGGGGTCACCCAAACACATGAGATATCATTGGAAAGCCCAGGATGTCCTTTATTTACTACATTGGGCTGGTTCTCAGGAAGATTTATCATTTCATGTTAACCTTTACCGTTGCCTCATGTATACCAATATCCTCTGCAGCCACCTTATGGTGAAACTGCTGTACTACAGCTAAGGCCTACACTTATTCACATTGGCGTCAATAAAAGCAAAACTGATAACAGCCCTAAAACGTGAATACACACAATGCACCTGATTCTATTATTAGCTTAAAAAAATAAAAGATAAAAAATAAAAGAACAATAAAAGTCAGTCATTAATTGTTACTATCTTACAGTTAACTTTAAGATTTAATAAAAGGCAATAACGTATACATTTTAAATATTTATTAACCAGTTTAAGAAATATATGTTGTAATCTAATAATCTACAAACAGAAGATTTTCAAAAGTGCTCAAGTTATAAGTATTGATAAATGCATTAATTACCAAAAAATACAAAAATTTAACAAAACCAAAAGTATTTTTGTAGCAAGTAAAATTCCAGTTAGGACAAACAGGTATTTATATAATAAAGCCTCCACTTACAGACTGTTAATACATACACTGATACACTGAACTAGGAACTGATGTTGTGATATATGTTGATGAAAAGAGACTGTCACGGCTGGCGGGGTGAGCCGTGTGGTGTAGGAGGAAAATGACCCAAAATGCAGGCAGTTGACTGGTGATGAGAGTGATGTTTTATTTACAGAAGTGGAGCGACTGAACAGGTAGTGAGAAAAGACGAATGACTGAAAAAAACCTAGACTGGGAAAACTAAATGACAAACCTAAGCATGAAACGGGGAGCGGAGAATGCAGAGAGACGTAGATACACCGAGAAACACAGCTGACACTAATGGACATGATGAGAAGCAGACCTACAAAGTAAAACCGGAAACACACAGACTGTTTTGCAACAAAAACGCAGGGACCTGAACGGAGCACAGAGGGGAGACACAGGTAGGGATAATAACACGACAACCAACCCAAAGAATTAATACAGAATCAGAATAAACACCAAACACAAGATGAACCCAAAAAGAAACACAAAACGCTGAGACCCATAACTCTACAGTCCATTCATGTGGAATCTGAATTTATTAAAGTTTTAACTTTCATTTAAACTAACATTTGTTTGTAGAACACACAATGCATTTCTGAACATCAGAAACTATTAATCACACACTAATATGGACATTTGTAAATCTTGTTTTGTTGTACCAGCATCATCTGGTACCAGAACGCCTGGAGTGAATACACACAGTGCAAATAACACTGAAATCCGAGACCTCCTGCTGAGCAGGGACACTGCTTAACCCAGTTTGGAGATAATGATGCTACCTTTGATCCATAAGGTATCAATGTCTTTGAGTGATGTCACTCTGTGGTGAAAATAAAACAGCTGCTGGCCATCCACAAACACACGAAATCTGCTTTGTTCACACCGAATCTCAATCTGTGAGGACAGAGGGAATGTTTAGTTAATTTTACAGTCTTTTTCTTTCAGGAGCGGTGTGCACTGAGTAGTTGCCATTCATTCGTGTACTCCTTGTTATTGCCGATCATTTCATGACACCCAAAATCACTCGGTAACAATAACATATCCATGGAATGTACTCTATTTTGCACTAACATATTCTACACATGTAATTTATATGTATAGCATAAACTCATAAATGCCATTACAGTATCAACAAGTTTATGGTACCTTGAAGGGCTGGTCTCTGATGAAGGGGAAAAAAGGAACAGCTTTGTCAACATCTCCCCAGGATCCAGACATGCAGGCTCTTCGTAGCACTTGTCTGTCCTTGAATCGAACACACATCTCCAGAGCCACATCAGGTGGAGGCTCCCTGGATGTGCCACAACCACATGTCAGGGCAATGTAGAACCTAACAGGGGGATGGATATACAGTATGAATCTGGCCACACCTTTCCTTAGATTATCACATAATAAATGAATTTTATATGCGGTGGTTTCTCAAAAGGGAATCCTACAATCAGGCATCGTTTTGGACTTGAATAATGGAGAAATCTCTGTAGGAGAGGCGATTACCATACTGATGTCACTGACTTTAAGCCCATCTTCACCCCTCAAAGTCACAGAGACCTGTTTTAAATTCTGTCTAGATAACATTTCTTCAGCATTCACTTCAAAAGTCTTTAAGGCAGCTGTCTCAAACTCAGAGCTGCTAGGGGCCACTGCTGGAATGCTTAAGTATTCAATCAGAACAAAAAAGAAAACATCCACAAATATTTCCAAAAATGTAGTTTTTTTATTTTAAATATTGTATAACAAGACAAAACTGCAGATGTAAGCACAATTGTTTTTCTCATGCTTAACTAACTCATCGGGCACTCTGCACTGGCTGCAGTGGTTATTATTATATTTACATGCTTTCATTTTCCGTTTCTCATCAGTAGCAACTCGTACTTTTTGACCCTCCTTTTTCTCCCTCCCTCGCCCTCACATGCACACAACAGGAGGGGCTGTCCCACACATTCCCCCTGCAGCACAGACTACACTGTCCATGATGCAACATTCTTAAAGGGGCTGTAACACTCTGCTCATGCTGCCTTCATATTAAATAATTTTAGAGGAATAGGTATGGAAGGATCTCGTATATAATGTGGTAATACTGTGGGAAGGATGGAAAGTCAGTAATTACACAAAACATTTCTACCTATCAGGATGGGGATTCACAGTACCAATCACTATGATCCTTTTCCCCAGCTGCATTCCTCCTGGGATACGACCTCTGAAAGGAACTGCCTGCACACACAAGCATTTGCATAGAGCAACAAAATGCTGAAAAACCACAGTTAATTAAATTTGATTTAAATAATAAAGTTAAAAACTAAAAAATCAAAAGGCAAGCAAGTGGTGAGCCTAAATAATTTTGGATGAATCTAATGGAAATATATGGTACAATAAAATTACAAAAATTACTGAGAATTCAAGAATAAAGCTGAAAACGTTTAAGACAAAACGGAAAGAATACAAATGTGCTTTTTGTTGAAAAAATTAAATTCACTTCTGTAGCACCAAATCACAACAACAGTCACCTCCAGGCACTATATATTGTAGGGCAGTCACTGTGTAAATGGTAGCATAATCTGACCAGAAAAGGCTAAAGTGTTACTTTATTTCCAAAATGTTTTCTAAGTAAAGTGTAAATTGGATAAAAATAAAAATTTTACAAGATCCACTGCAAAATAAATAGAAAAATACACATTTTATATTATATTATACATCATGCATGCTTCCCTTAGGCAGTATCATCAGAAGGCATAGCATACATTTTCAGTGCTGTGCGGATGACACCCAGCTCTATCTGTCCATGAAGCCAGAAAACACACACCATTTACTTAAACTGCAGGAATGTCTTAAAGACATAAAGACCTCTAACTTTCGCTTCTAAATTCAGATTAAATTGGGGTTATTTGTACTCGGCCCTGACAATCTTAGAAATATGGTATCTAACCAGATTCAGTGCACATATTGAACATTTTCCATTTGCGCAACATCTCTAAAATTAGAAATATCCTGTCTCAGAGTGACGCTGAAAAACTAGTTCATGCATTTATTACTTCCAGGCTGGACGACTGTAATTCATTATTATCAGGATGCCCAAACAACTCACTGAAAAGCCTTCAGCTAATCCAAAATGCTGCAGCAAGAGTCCTGACAGGGACTAGAAAGAGAGAGCATATTTCTCCTATTTTGGCTTCCCTTCATTGGCTTCCTGTTAAATCCAGAATTGAATTCAAAATCCTGCTCCTCACTACAAGGTCTTAAATAATCAGGCCCCATCTTATCTTAATGACCTTATAGTACCATATCACCCTATTAGAGCACTTCGCTCTCGCTCTGCAGGCCTACTTGTTGTTCCTAGAGTATTTAAAAGTAGAATGGGAGGGAGAGCCTTCAGTTTTCAGGCCCCTCTTCTGTGGAACCAGCTTCCAGTTTGGATTCAGGAGACAGACACTATCTCTACTTTCAAGATTAGGCTTAAAACTTCCCTTTTTGCTAAAGCATATAGTTAGGGCTGGACCAGGTGACCCTGAATCCTCCCTTAGTTATGCTGCAATAGACGTAGGCTGCTGGGGATTCCCATGATGCATGGAGTTTTTCCTTTCCAGTCACCTTTCTCACTCACTATGTGTTAATAGACCTCTCTACACTGAATCATATCTGTTATTAATCTCTGTCTCTCTTCCACAGCATGTCTTTATCCTGTCTTCCTTCTCTCACCCCAACCGGTTGCAGCAGATGACCCCGCTCCTCCCTGAGCCTGGTTCTGTCAGAGGTTTCTTCCTGTTAAAAGAGAGTTTTTCCTTCCCACTGTCGCCAAAGTGCTTGCTCATAGGGGCTCATATGATTGTTGGTTTTTTCTCTGTATGTATTATTGTAGGGTCTACCTTACAATATGAAGCACTGTTGTTGTGATGTGGTGCTGTATAAATAGAATTGATTTGAACTGACATGAAATGACATGAAATTCAAATATATTGTGTTTATTTATTACACTGAAACTGATTAATAAGCTATTAATAATGTAACTGTTATTGACATGATGCACAGCTTATTTGTGATTAAAATAACAAACTTTACATTTTAAATTTCCATCAAAGATGAAATAGTTTTGTTTTATTTTGTTACTTGCAGCCTTCACATCAAAGTGTGTTTGCTTGATATTCATGTGACATTACCAGTTTTCTCTCAGTGTCTCTGTCAGGAGGGTCAGTATTTGCTTTTCTAGGCTCAGTCCCACCTCTCTGTGGTAAATTCCATTTCTGAAAGGAAGCAAAAAAAATGATTGCAACTTCACCGGAAGTGTAGATAGATAGATAGATAGATAGATAGATAGATAGATAGATAGATAGATAGATAGATAGATAGATAGATAGATAGATAGATAGATAGCGTGACAATAAATACATCACAATTACATAGACAATTATTTCGGTTTACAATAGAAAGCTTGGTATTTACTTCACTCCTGCTGGCCGAATGAAGTCAAAGCATAGGTCACAGTTTGATCACGTGCCCTCAAAGCGTGAAAAAGGCAGGAAGCTATTTGAGTTGAAGTTGACCTTCAAAATATAAGCTTCAGATTTGAACTCGTGCTACAAACTTCGTAATAACAAATCAGAAGCTCACTTACGAGCAATTTACATGTTCAGTTGATTTATAATTTACCAGAAAAGAATGAAGTGAGTATTTTTACAGACCGGAGCTGAATCTTCTATCACGACCATCAACCCTTCTACGCGTATTGTTAAACCAATTATTAACTTGCTCAAGAACTGATATTGGAAAAGTAAAGTTGGAATATGGGATAACCATAATATAATTTCGATATAAGACTTAAGTTGATTGTATTAGTTTTATTTTTCTTTCTTTGTGCGCGTGTGTTTATTTTTATTTAAAAAACAAGCAAACACTGGGCCTTTATTTTGGTGGCTCTAAGCGGAAGAGTCGCTTTACTTACTTCTGCCATTTTAAAACTACCTGTACTAGAACAGGTTGATAGTTTTCAAAGCCAAGAAAGCTTAGGTTGTGTCTAAACAGCCACCTGAGAAATAGATCGAAATCAGAAACGGAAAGTAATGAAGTAGTTTGTCAGCCTGCTTCGTCTCTGTGTCCCCTCTCTGCTTGGTCACTTACCTTCCTGCCCTGCGCTGCTGTCAAACTGTGTGTTTCAGCCATGTTAACCTGAAGGGAACAAAAAGCAAAGAAATAAGCTGCAGATCCAGTTTGTCTGCTGGTCGCTGAATGAACAGTGACGCAAAGCTTAATCTCAGCACACACACACACACACACACACACACACACACACACATTTTTGATAATCAGCTGCCCTGCATGCCTTCCTGTTTCTAACAAGTGCGCTCATTGTGAGGCTACAACTTAAGGCAAAATAAAATAAATCCGCTTCAAGCACAGCAAATTAAATACAATATGTCTTATTTACTTCAAAAGCTTCAAGTTTACAAGTCTCATATTTTTCATACTGCCAAGAATTCTCGAAAAAAGTGCCTGAAAGAATGCAGTCAATTTATTTACCTTCATGTCTGAGGATAAAGTGCAGAGTTCACGCAAAAGCTCAGCGGGAGAAGATACATTTGTTCGGTGGTGTGCCGTGTCAGCTGTCCACTGAATATTTATATTATTAAATATAATATTTAGATTTAATATTTAACATTTGATGAAAAGTTACAAATATTTTACTAAATGTTGTAAAAAATTACTCGAAAAAATATGTTTTTGTAAGGTTTTGAGCTAAATGTGGAAAAATGTTGCCGTTAATTTCAGCATGTTTCACTTTACAAACGGCGCCCCATACAGAAAGGTTTCTTAAACCAGGTAATCAAACTTGGTCTGCATTTCTATATTTGTTAATACAATGCAGAATATAGATATGCAGAGTAAAACAACTCAAGTGCACAGAAGAAATCACGATTTAAAAAACCAACAATAAAACTGATTTGACTTTGAGCTGTAAATCTATTCGTCCATCACTCAGTAATTCTCAAATTGAGAGCATCATTAAAAATAAAGACAAACAACAAATATTTTTACTGTTTTTCAAGGGGAATATATTTTTGAAGCTCTACAGTAGGACAGTGCATGAGGCCAAATACAAACAGAACCACTAGACTTATCTTAATTGTTACTACCTTTAGATACACAATAGTTTTTAATCGGATACAATCAGTGTTCCTATCCCATTTGATATATCAGGATATAAAGAATAGACTCAATCCATAAATACTCACAGTGTCTGCAGCCGAGCTGTGGAGCTTATTTTTACCTGTCTGTGGGCCTGAAATTGCATTTCTAATGTGGTTTAGAGAATACTGAAACACTTCTTGTTGTGACTTTTCTGAAGTCACAAATGAAGAATCAAAGAATGGGAGGAAGCAGAGGACATGGAGTCACAGGAATGGGCTGAGCTGCAGGAAACGGGAAATGCAAGCAGCCTTAGAACAAGAGGCTACAGTGCACTCGCTGCATACCGTGTTCTACATGCTGGGCACCACATGAAAGCATCTGTTGGTAGCTACAGTTTCTTCTGATTACACTAAACAGATACTTATCAGTGATTTGCTGTAATAACAGAAACAAAGCTAGCAGGGATATTCACATGTGAAGACGCTCCATCCCTTCTAACCAGAATGAAAATGTGATACTGTGCATATGTTAGTGTATGAATTGAAGGAATGACATACAACCAGAACAGTACAAAGCAACAGCAGGAAAAGCTACAACCTAAATAAAATGTGGGTTTATGAGATTTTCAAATCAGTACATGCTGTTTTGACTGACACATTTTATGCAGCATCCAAACTGTTTTGGAAAATGACAAAATGGCTACAGTGACGTTTAAAACTACAGATAATGAATGCAACAACATTTCAGACATCTTCACAGAAACAAAATGACTATAAAGAGATGAAAAATGCGCACAAGTTATTAAAACGCAGAGAGAAAATCGGTACAAAGAGAAACAAAATAATACACAGTCTATAAGGTAATTTGGTAAAGTGAATGCTATCAAGTGGGTTTTCCTTCAGCACATATCAGTGTTTGTTGTTGCAGTATTCTAGAACCTTAGCATCCACCAGGTCTCTAGAAATCCATCTAGTGTTAGGGTTCAGTTAACACAGTAAATGGGCCTTTCTACTACAAGGCTCATTCCTCAGTCACACGCTTTCATACAGTGCTTTCATCTATGCATAAACACTTTTTCCCCACACACACAGTCAAACCCTGATGGATGCATGAGGGGCAGAGAAGGTTATGTATCTTGCATACACATGGACTGTAGGAGCTGGGGATTGATTGGTTGTGGCTGTAGAGTTTGAGAGTTAACATACATCCCATCATCCATCTTGTTCCACTTAATGAATTCAGGGTAGTCAGGGTATTCACAGGGAGAACATCCAAACTTCAGAGGGTGGAGTTTTCTGTGAAGCAACAGTGCTAACCACCTCACCACCATGGTTCCCTACGCCAGTACGTTTTTTATAGAATTTCCCTATTTAAAAAATTCCACCCATCCATCCATTTAGACAGGTTGGATCACATAAGTTGGATGAGGCCTGTAATCAGAGTAATTGACAGAGTAATGCCCCAACTATGACTAATACCACTAAGGCAGTTCAGCCAGGTCATGCAAATATACAAAAACTGGACTCACTGATACTTTGACATTTTGATACAAAGGCAAATATATCAATTTGTAAAAACTGTGACATAAAAAAAGAATGGGAAACCATTTTGAACAAGCCTTTATTAAAAGTTTGAACATACATAAAAAAAAACATTTATTGCAACGTATAAAAATTACAAAAACAGAAATAAGCAGTGAAAAAATTTATAGTTCATTTAATTTAAGTATTTTTTTTAAACTGTCTTCAGGTAAAAAACATTAATATTTTTAAAAAAACACTGAAAAACTGAGAGATAAATACAGTCGTGTAAAGCAAAGATATAAAAGGTCCCATTAATTAATATTTTTAAAAAAACAACAAGAGAGAAATGATTTATTTTAGCTGCATTGATCAATGTCTCTCAAATGAATTGCCCTTTCCAATGAAGTATTCAATGTGACACAAATCACGTAAAATAATGCCAGCACCTACCTGAGACTGAAATACTTACTCTGTATTACAAAGAGTAAAACATTCATTTAGAAATCCTGCATGGCTTACTTTAAAATGCCAGTGCAACAAATGGACAGCTCAGTACTTTATATAGAGTTGTCGTTGTGTCTCATATAAGATATAACATATAACTAAGAACAGGATAAGCATCAAGTGCTTTTACACCTTTCATAACAATATGTCATCAAATGTCAGATATACAGTTTTCCTACTACCTTTAAACCAGTTTTCCTAGTAGGAATGAGAACGATGCTCCCACAGCCAAACCCAGGACCAAGAAGAAGGTCATCAAAGAGCCAGCTGTCTCGCAATCCTTACACCGCACCAACCTGAAGGAGACGAAAACACACAGTTACAACACTATCCAGTACAGTGAACACAACACACAGAGAAGTCGATTCATCTTTTTCATTTATTCTTCAACAAAAACACATGAAAGTTTTTCACAAACCATCAGTACAAGTGAAGTGCTTGTGTCTTCATGTTGCCTGTATTACTTTGGTTTACTTCCTGTTTTATTTTGAAGGTTTAAAACCTCATGTGGCTTTCTGTTTCCTCCCTGTTGCCTTTCTCTTCCCTCTCTTGTTAATGCCTGATAAAGTTCAGTGTTGGTCTCCTTTTTTCCCCTGTGTTTAGTCTGTTTTTGTTGTATTCATTCTTGAAAGTTTGTTGTCATTTGGGATGTGTTTTCTCTCAATTATTGTGCAGCAGTTTGTTATTTTTTAGTTATTAGTTAAAGAACCTTATTTACTTCCTATAAATGTATCCTAGTTTGCTTTTTGTTCTGCAGTAGGGCTGGTGGAGGGTTTCAGGGATCCCTGAACACACAAACTCCCTGAGCGGACACTTGGACCACTGTGAGCAACAGCAGACGTGTGCACTGTGGTCACGCAGGCATCGAATCCATCCAACTTACATGGTTTAATAAAGTAATCAAATTACAGCATTTACATTTATGTTAGTCTACTTTTAATTAAGTGCTTTAGCCCCACTTACAATGAAAATTAAAAAAAAAATCTTGTTCATGACCTGTGTAGTATGCTAACACAATTGGAAGTAAAAATAACTTGAACTCCAACTTTGAAAACACAACTTTCTTTCTTTTTTATAAAGCTGTGACTTGTATTATGAGTCTGTGGTCTGGGAGAGAGTCCTGTAACTCTGTCTGCAAAATACAGCATACAATGACCAATGTTGGGCAATTAATTATATAGTTACTTCTTCAAAAAAGTAACTGAGTTTTGCAAACAGCAATTTTTTTTTACAGCTGTTTACCTAAAAATGCAGCCAAGGCGTTTTTTAAAATAAACATTTCAAACTTTCTACAGAACAATCAGCTGTTCTGCATCAAATCTGAATCCACACAAATTATTTGTGCCACTCCAAAAAATAATTTCTGTCCACTATGAGATGAAGGAGAACAACAGCCTGATACCTGCAGGCCTGACAGCAGCAGATGTGTCACTGCTGTAACACCTGTAACATTCAGCAGTCGCCTCGTTGTTCTGACACACAACAAAACTATTGACTACACTACACACTACACAAGATTTGCGCTAAACGTCGCAATACACCGCCGTCACCCCTAAAACTTTCCCCCTTCCTAAACAACTGTTGCCATATCATTTTTTCATTGGTTGACACGGTACATTTTTCGACCAATAGGAAAGGGTTTGTTTTTTTTTGTCTTTGCTCACAGGCTTTCGAGTGTTTTCCTTATAAAACGTCGTTTTTACCGTTTCTTCCCGCAGTAACTATAAACAACGAGAGTATTCAGGAAGAAAACCAAACATTGCAGATATTTTTTCATAACTGGTTTTATGTGGCCGATCAACACAATTTAAAAACTGGTATAAAGTCCACACTTTTTCCACCAATTGTTCCGTCTGTCCTGCTCACATCTCCAAAGATTGTACATGTTGTCATGACCGTGGCTTCACTCCACATCAGCCACGCCGCTTTGCTAGCTAAAACACCGGTGTCAGCACATAAGGACGCTGTCATAGCCTGTCAACGATGTTTATTAGCTGCGTATATACGAATGTGAATCACATTATTGGCTGGACTATGGGATAAGGTGGCATCGTTCTAATCCCATACTCTGTCAGTGCGCCGCAGGGCAGCTGTGGCTACAATGTAGCTTGACATCACCAGTATGTGAATGTGTGTCTGAATAGGTGGATGACTGAATGTAGTGTAAAGCGCTTTGGTGGTACTTAGGGACTAAGTAAAGCGTTATACAAATACAGGCCATTTACCATTTACCATATGGGAGCAGCCAGTCACTTACTAACACTGCAAAACAGAATTGTTAAAGTTTTAATTTTAATTTCAATTCCGGTTAAATTTTTTTCTTTTTTGCGCACAACACAGATTTTCTGTGCGCAGAGACCGTGTCAGCAGTGCGCACGTGCGCAGCTTAGAGGGAACTTTCCCTGACCCTGTTCAAAATTCACACCAAAAGATTTTGCAGTTGCACCATCCAGCCACTAGGTGCCACAAGACATTCTTCTTCTTCTTGGGTTTTGTTCAGCCAGAAAATTGTGCTGAATGTCTTTGTTTTGTTCCACTGAAGTCTGTGACTTGAATGACATGTTTCACAAGAAACACAGGAATGGTGTGCATGTGTCAGTGGGTGTAGTGTTCTCAGTCAGTGGTAACATACATATAAGGTGCCATATAAAGTAGGCGGTCTGCACCTTTGGCAGATTTATTTCTTTATTTCAGCTGAAATAAATCCCATGTTACATTTTATGTGTAGCTCATGTGCCCAACATGTGGGGACTCGGAGCTGTGACTGGCTTCTTCTGTCTGTAATTCTTGAGTTTGTTAAAGTGAAGCAAGGATTCAGTTTTCACCTACTTTCAGGTACAAACGCTTAATTTAATTTAAATATTCAAACAAATCAAATAAAACTCCAATGGAAATTTTCTCATTCTTATTTTTTATTTTAGATTACTGTTTTATAGAGAGATTTTCTTCTCACTCTCACACAGTAAAAGTCCCTCACTATGCACCTGTGGCACTTTGACCTTATGCTGCTGCTGTAACACAATCACGTTCCTCGTGGGATCAGTACAGTATTGATTTATCTTGTGCTTCAAGCTCCATCACATCTGCCTCATTGTAATCAAGTTGTGGAAGTTTTCACGTGTTAGCACACAAACTAAGTCACATCATTAAAGAGCAGTTTATATCCT